AGATGCATCAATTGGTCCCAACCTACCTGAAGCAAAGGAGAATGAAGAATACCAAAGACACAAGGAAAATATTAACCCTAGAGACAAAAAGGGCCTTATAAACCAGAGACTCCATCAGCCTCAGACCGGAAGAACTAGATGGTGCCTGGCTACCGCCAATGACCGCCCTGACAGGGGGCACAACAGAGAATCCCTGATGGAGTGCGAGAAAAGTGGGGTGCAGAACTCAAATTCTAGTAAAAAAAAGACCAGACTTAATCGTCTGACTGAGACTGGAGGAACCCCAGAAGACATGGCCCCCGGACTCTCTGTTAACCCAGAACTATAACCATTCCCGAAGCCAACTTTTCTGACAAAGCTTAGACTGGAGTATGGGACATAAAATGATACTCATGAAGAGAGTGCTTCTTAGTTCCAGTAGATACATGAGACTAACTGAGCAGCTCCTGTCGGAGGTGCGATGAGAAAGCAGAAAGGGACAGGAGCTGGCTGAATGGACACGGGAAATATGGGGTAGAAACAAGGAATGAGCTGTCTCATTACAGGGAGAGCAACAAGGGTCACATAACAATGTGTGTATAAATTTGTGTATGAGAAATTAACTTGAGCTGTAAACTTTCACCTAAAGCACAATTAAAAAAAAAGTTTACAATGAGACGAGAAAGTATGCTGAGGTTTCAGTTAGACACTCAGCTACCTGTTTCATCCTCTGATACGTCAATTTAATCATAGTGGCAAAGAATGATACACTGAGCCCAACCGAGACACTTGTGACTCTAGCAGAGAAGGACAGCAACACAGGTGAAGGGCCCAAGCCGCGCACTTCACCTGAAATTATCTAACCACAAACCAATACTCCACCGGGAACCTCAAGGCATCAATTAAAAGAAAGAAGAAAAAAGTGCCTTCCAATTACTCTATCCAATTTGTAATGCTACATTATCACCATGGCCCAGCTACCTAAGTGAAACCCAAGAAAAGCCAGGAAGAATGAATAAATACTAAAATGAGGGTCAGGGGAACACAGGCAAGCACTGAAGAATTTTGCACCTGTGAAACAGAAAATCACATTTCCTTACCCAGCTACTTTAGGATACAATGCTAAGCTGCCTACTGCCTTAAAAGCATGGCAGACCTGTACCACACAGAGGGAGGAAGGTAAGAGGGAAAATGTACAAGGAGGAAATGAGGGTAGGTTGTCTGATCTGTGCTCCTGACTTGCCTCTTGTTCACAGTCTGTCTTTAGAATTTAAAGTGCTTTCACAGCAGAATCTACCTGATCCTAAGATGCAAAAGAACACACATTAATCAGACATCAAGAATCAAGAAATGAAGAAACTTCCGTCAGCTAAAAGAATAAAAACTGGAAAAAAGTTAAGGGAATTTTCCTGCAACCAGTTCTACAAAAAGAGGCCTATTTGAAAGAAGTTCCATTTTACTTAACTATTGACTGAGGAGGACATCAGATGACACACACTTCGCACAGAAAAATCCTCGTTTGGCAAGATTACAATCTGAAGTAATTAAAGGAAAAAGTTAAGATGTGCAAACCATTTCATTATTGAGTGAGATACTCTAAATAGAGTAAAACTACATACACATATATCCACCCCACTGAGAAACAGAACTTTCTAAATAACTAAGTAGCCTATCCAGGCTGTTATTTTTCAAAAAAAACAGTAAGTATACTAGCCACTATACAATCTTTGATGATGATTTAGGAAGTAAAGAATCATGAGAGAATCAGAATTATCAATATAAAAAATAATCACTATCATTTTACGGCATAGCATAGTGCTATGTGCTAAGAGCTCTGGATGGATTATCTTATCTAATAGTTAAAACAACCCTTTCCTCATGTTACAGAAGCATAAACTAAAGCTTAGAAAGATTTAAGTACCCAGCCTAAAGTTACATAACAAGTGGTGGAGCC